TCGAGTACGATCTTCCTCCCTCGGTGCGTGACGAACTTTTGGCTTGTACATTTCTGGCCTTCACCGCTATAACCGACCTTCGGGCGCGCCCCTGCTCCGAAGTGTTCGGTACGGACGCATCCCTCGGCTGGGGGGGAGTGGTCCGCGCTCCGATCAGCTCCCAGTTGTCTGCCGAGCTGTGGCGGCGATCTGAGCACGGGGGGTGGCACACGATTCTGCACAATCGGAGCCTCCTCGCCGTTCTGAGCCGCGGCGAATCCTTGGGCCCTGAGCTTACCCAGCTGCACCGCGACCTGGGGCTGCCTTCTCTTGAGCCTCCCGTCGCGCCGCGCTGGGTAACCGAGCTCTCGGAGGCGATTCGCTTTCGCTTGGCGTATAAATGGGAGTTCCGCATGCCGCGTCACATCAACATCCTCGAGACCACCGTTTATAAGAGTCTTTGCAAGTACTGCTGTATTCGGATCCCAGACTCCCGTATTCCAGTTCTTCTGGACTCGAAGGTGGCCCTGGGGGCGTCCGCTCACGGGCGTAGCAGCTCCCCTGGGTTGTCCCACGTTCTTTCCACCACTTTGCCTTATGTGATCGGGGGAGGTCTTTATATGGGAGGGTTATACGTGCCAACGGATGTGCATCGAGCAGACGATCCTACCAGGAATCGCCCCGTCAGGCCCCCTTCTATACCTCCACCGTCCTGGCTGGTTGAAGCCGAAGCGGGAGACTTCACCAGGTTTGATTGTGTCGCATACGCGGACTCCCGTGCACCTTATCCCACATGTCTGTGGGGACGCCTTGTCGCGTTGCTGCTGTCTCGAGGGCTCCTCGACAGCCCCGTGGGCCACAATGGGGCGGCCTGTTCCCCCCTCGCGGCGGGCGTGGGGCTGACCGCCGCTGCAGACGACGCCGAGGGGCCAACTGCCGGAGCCCCTGGCGCCTGCAGCGCTGACGGGGCGCCCGCTGAGGCGCTCGGCCCCCGTGTGGGGCCGCGGAACGCGCTGTTCCAGCCGCGCGACGAGGGTCCCGGCAGCTGCGCGGAGGGGGCAGCCCGCCTTGTTGCTCCCCCCGCGCTCTCGTCGGCCCCCGACGCGCGTCCCAAGACGCGGTCGGCCCCCCAGCCTGCCGTCGGGGGTGGCCAAGCTCGCACAGTTGGGCGCGACTTCCCGACGGGCCGCGAGGCCGCGACACCTCACGCCTTCCAGCGCGCCGCCCGCCTGGGCCGAGCCCGCCAAGTGCTCGGGGTCGCGGAGGGCGCCCACAGGGACGCGATCGAGGGCTCGTTCCGGCGCCTCTCGGTCCCGTGCCGTCCCGACAAGGCACCCGCGGGGTTGACAGCTGCCGAAGCGGTCGCCCGCGTCCAGCGGTGGAAGGACTTGTGCGACGCGAAGTCCCTGCTGCTGAAGGCGGCGGCGCATCAGTCGGCGTCCGCCGTGCTCGCGCCTCCGCAGGCGAGCCAGCCGTCCAGGCTTCCGCTTGGGCCGAGGCCGTTGGCCAGGGCGCCCGCCGAGGGGCCCCTCCCGCAGAACACGCGTGCCGTCCTGCACAACGCTGAGGTCAAGACGGGCCTCGCCAACGAGGAGCGCGCCGCTCGCGGTGGGGACGCACCCGCGTCGTCTACTGGCCGCTCCTTGGCCGAGGTGGAGGCCGAGGATCCGCGCGCCCTGGCGCGGCCCGCCGACGACCCTGCGTCCCGCTTCAGCCTCCGTGAGCGGCGCGCAGTCCGCGCCCGCCTGGGCCCGCGGGATGAGGCGGTCGAGGACCAGCCCAACCGCGGTGGTCACGCGCCGCACTCCGCCTCGCGCACGGGCGCCGCGCGCGCCAGGCGCGCCGCCAGGCAACGGCGGGCTTCGATGGCGGCGCTCCCCGCCCTTGAGGGGGGAGCCGCCACGGCGCCTGGCCGCAGGGCGCGTCGCACAGCCAATGCGCGCCGCTGGGCAGGCGTGGCACGCCCCAGCTCCGCCGCGGGAGTGGGCTCCCCACAGCGGAGCCCCAGCGCTGCCCGCGGCCGTACGCGGTCTCCAAACCCGTACGGGAGGGACCACACCTCTCCCTCGGGGGGCGGCTCTTCGCCTCCCGTCGACGGCCCGCTCTCGCCCGAGGAGCCGTCGGAGCCGCCCGCGGGAGTGGCACCGGAGGGCCCCCACGCCAGAGCCCCGAGGTGCCCCCCGCGCTCGCCCGACGGGTCACCGCCCGCGAGCGTTCGCAGCCGTTCGAGAGCGGAGCCCGCGTGCGACGAGGACGAGGCGTTCGACTCCGACGACGCCCTTCTGCAAGAGGGCGCGCTCGCCTCTCTGAGCGCCCTCGCGGACTCTTCGATGGACCTTGAGCGCGTCGTGGCGGGCATGAACCCCGAGGTCCTCCGCCGCCTGCAGACGGTTTTCCCTGGTGGCTCGGCTGAACGAGGACCCCGCGACGAGCGCTCCCGCTCTCATGAGCGCTCCGGCAGCAGGAGGGGTTCTCCCCGCAGCCACGGGGGCAGGCAGCAGCGCGGTAACAGGGGGCACCCTCCTCGCCGCTCGGGGGGCTCCCCGCCCGCCGCTCGCGCCTCGGCTCGCAGCCGCTCTCGGGGCCGCGGTCCGCGCGTAGGCTCCGAGCCTCCGCGGCCCTTGCTCCCGCCGCCGCCTCCGCCCCCTCGCCCTTCAGACAGGCGAGAGGCGTCGCGCTCCAGGGACGCCCGCGGCTCCCCCCGCGCGCCCTCGCGACAGGTGACGTCGCCTCGGCGTCGCGAGGCGCGCGCCCCTCGGGTCGCTCCGAAGCGGCGCCCGAGCCCAGCTACGGCGCCTCGGCAGGCCGCGCCCCGCCAGGGTGCGAGCTCGGGCGGCGCCCGCGCAGGCAGCTACCGCGCGGGCCCCGCTGCTCAGGCCCCCCGTCCTCGGTAGGCACGCGCTCCTCCAGCGATGCTGCTGCGGCCCCGCAGGGCGGAGGGCGTGCCGCCGAGGAACGGGGGTCTTCGAGCGGCCTCGCGCCTGGCCGGGGCTCGGGGCGCGAGCTGCATCCCAGCGGCACCCACAGCGGCGACCCCGGGAGCGCCGCGGCTGCAGCCTTCGCAGCGCGGCGCACGGCTTCCGAGGCCGTCGAGCAGCCCTTGCCCACTCTGACTCAGGGGAGTGCGGCCCCACTGTCCCCTATCTCGGATTCCCGCGTTCCGCGTCTGAACTTCCCTCACCTGTCCGCCGACGAAGCGGCGCGCCTGGGCCTGCAGGCGCCGACCGTCGAGGCCATCTTGGCCAGGGCCCCTGGGCCCCCTCAACGCGTCCAGACCTGCGCTCTGGTTCCTGCCTCCGCCCTAGTAGCGGCTTGGGGGAACAGGCGGGGCAGTGGCGCCTCGACGCAGCCGCCCGCTGCTCTCTCCCCGAGCATCCTGCCGCCCCTGGGGTTGGCCAGTCTCGATGAGGGCGCAGGCTCCGCCGAGGTGGCCGCAGGTGACGTCAGGGGAGCTTGCGCCGAGGCTCCCCAGAGGACCCTGCATCTGGCCCTCGAGTGCCTCCTTATGGCGCTCGAGCAGGGCGCAAGCTCCGCCGAAGTGGCCGCAGGGGACGTCATGGGAGCGTGCGCCGAGGCTCCCCAGACGACCCTGAATCGGGCCCTCGAGCGCCTCATTTTGGCGCTTCGGCAAGGCGCAAGCTTCGCCAAGGTGGCCGCAGGGGACGTCATGGGAGCGTGCGCCGAGGCTCCCCAGACGACCCTGAATCTGGTCCTCGAGTGCATCCTTCTGGCGCTTCAGCAGGGGAGCCACGTTTCACGACACTGGCTTAAGTAGCGGCCAGATTGTTCAGCCGACGACGCTGCGTCGGCCAGAGCAGGGGGGTAAGCATTTGGACTTCACCGATCCGCTCCCGCCCTGCGCGCGTTGCGGCTTCCGTACTCGGTGAAACTATTTGCTTTCGGCTATTGGCGTGCTGATCGTCTAAACGGCCTTCTCGCCCCCCTACGAGCTGTCCGCTCTCCCTGAGCCCCCTTTGTGCTCAGGTCGCCTGTCGTACTGTCAGTTGCGACCTCTGTCGCTGCCCGCCCGCGACGTCCTTGTCGCTTCCCTTCTAGGGGTCGGCCCTGCTGTATGGACCACCCGTCTATCGGCCGCCCGCCGAAACCTTGTCACTGCGCAAGGGCTTTGAGCATGGGTATGGCTGCATCGCCGTTTACGGCGACCAGGCGGACTCCACCGCCTGAGGCGGCGCCCCGGCTCGGGCGCGCGGGGCGGGCCTGCCCATTTTGGGCCGTTCCGCGCGCGCGGCGCCGCGGCCCCGCACGGAGACAGCTCGCTTGCGCGCGAGCGGGAGAATGCTCCTCTCTATTCTCCTTGCGACCCGCGCTCTTGCTGTCTCTGCAGCTTCTCAGCCCCCCTCCCTCCTCTCCCTCATCTTGGCTGATGTGGCGCTGCATCGCCGTTTACGGCGACCAGGCGGACTCCACCGCCTGAGGCGGCGCCCCGGCTCGGGCGCGCGGGGCGGGCCTGCCCATTTTGGGCCGTTCCGCGCGCGCGGCGCCGCGGCCCCGCACGGAGACAGCTCGCTTGCGCGCGAGCGGGAGAATCACCATAAACAACAGCATCAACATCAGCATTATCATCATCATCATCATCATCATCATCATCATCATCATCATCATCATCATCGACATCAGCACTATCATCATCACCACCACCATAATCATCATCATCATCATCAGCATCGTCATCATCACCACCACCATCATGTCCATCAGCATCATCATCATCATCATCATCCTCATCCTCATCATCATCATCATCATCATCAGCATCATCATCATCATCATCCGCATGTTCATCCGCATCATCACAACCATCTTCATCTCGTGAGGGGAGGACGAGGAGGGAGGTGTGTGTGTGTGAGGAGTCGGCGCGGTCAGACTAGCCGCAAGAACCCCATCCTTAGGATAGAGGGAACAATAACAGCAGTGATAAGATTAACGAGAGGACGCATATGGATAGCAGGGGGATGCAAGGTTGGTGGGTTGCGAGGATGTGGGGCCATGCCGCCAGCCAGGTGAACCAGGCCGAGGTCCGCGACGCTGCGCGACAGGCGCTGGCGCGGTCGGGGCCAGGCGTCTGCACGGGCACGGAATGTTGCCCCCCCCCCCACCCACCCCACGTTTGGTGAGGCTTTGGGTTGCGCACAGACAGCCCCCCTGGTAGTCCCGGCGGCTGGCCGCAAGAGGTCCCCCTGAGTGCTCCCAGCCAGCCGAGGCAGTCCCCCCGAGCAGCCATGGGGCGGTCTCGACACCCTGACGGCGCTCCTGTTGCCCCCTGGGGCGCTCCGCGCCCCGGGGCTGGCGTGTCGAGACGGCCCTCCTGCGCCCCGGCCGCGACGGGAAATCCGCGCAGCCTTCGAAAGTTTATGTTGATGCGGTTTCTTTCTCTCTGAAGACCCCGTCGACGGATGGGGTGGTCCAGAAAGGGCCTCGGCGTTCGAGGGCTCGAGGGGGTGACACCTCGTCCTCGGTGGGAGAGCCGACGGAAGTACAACGGGGGCGGCTCCGCCGGCAGAAGCTGGCGGAAGACCAGCGGAAGCTGGCGGAAGTCGAAGATGTACCCCCAGGGGGTGCTCAATTTGTTTGTCGACTCGGGGTTCTGGAACCCGCCAGCTGCTTACAGAACCGGCCTGGGCCGTCGAGGAGGAACAGCGGGGGGAAGGAGCTTCGGACCTCGAGTTCCGAACCTCTACGTTCGAGGCTTCGGACTTGGTTCCTCCTTTTGGGCGTTCGGGAGCTTCTCGTCGCGTCGCCACGGCTGGATTTCCATCGGGAATCTGGTGAGAACGCACCCCAGGGTGGTCCGTTTTCTCATAGGGGGGGAAAGGAGGAGGAGGTGGAGGAGGAAGAGATGTTGAAATAAACCCTCCCTCCAATCTCCCTCGTCATGGGCCCCTACAAGAATTCATTTCCACTGAGGCTAGTGCCCCGTTGGACCGTTTGAAGATCTCGAAGCGTGCCAAAACACAGTTCTTGGGACTCCAACGCCACGAATTATTGGGTCTTGACGATCCTGAATCGTGCCAGAACGCCAGTCCTGCGATTTTAGCACCGCGAATCAACGTAACTGTATTGTTGCGCCCTGACAATCCCGAATCGTTCCCAAACACCGTTTCTGGAACGTTGACCATGGGAATCCGTGAAACTCGTGCAACTGTTTAGGACGAGTGTGCGCGGCGCGGAGGCGAGAGCCACATTTTGAAAAGGAGCCGCCCTCAACCCGTGAAGCTCTTGCAAATGTTTACAACGAAGTGTGCGGTGCCAAGGCGAGAGCCACATTTTGAAAACGGCCCGCCCTCAACCCGTGAGCTCTTGCAACATGTGAGGACGAATGTGCGCGGCGCTACAGCGAGAACCATATTTTGGAAGCGGCTCGCCCTCCATCTGTGAAACGATTGTCTAAGCTTCAGGGTTATAAATGGTTACCAAGTCTCAGGCGAAACTCCTGGCCTGCCCTTTCGACCGGCCTCGGAAGGCGACAGGGAGGAGTTGTCCATAAGGACAAGGAATGGAGGAGGAGGAGGAGGAGGAGGAGGAGGAGGAGGAGGATGAAGAGGAAGAGCAAGAGGAAAAAGCGGAGGCGGAGGAGGAGGAGGAGGAGGAGGAGGAGGAGGAGGAGGACAGGGAGGGTATGGAGGATGGGAGGATAGGGAGGACAGGGAGACTTGCCAGACGTCGTGCGCAAACGTCACCCCCCTTCTCATGAGCACCGCTTGGGGTGGGGTGCCCAAGTGCGTGCTCTCTCTCTCTCTCCGCCCAGGCGCCCAGGCCCCGGCCCCTCGCCGCACCCGCCCCGCCTGCGCCTCGAGGGGGGGTATCTCCCCTCCTCCGCCTCCCTCCCGGCCCCCCTTCCACAACCCGGGGGGGGGGGCGCGTCGCGCGTCGCGTCGGCGTCGGTCCTCGCTCCGCGACTGGCGGGGAGGGCGGGGCCTTCGCTCCGAGACTGGGGGGCGGCGCCGCGCGGCGCGGCTGGGCACGCGCGGGCGCATCGGCGGGGGGCTCGAGCGGAAGGGCGGCGCAGCCGCGGCGCACCGGCGGCCGTCTCGCTCCGGAGCGGGTGGCTGGCTCCTCTCGGGGGGCGCGGGAGGGCGGAGCCCACCGCGCCGAGCGCACGAGGACCTGCAGGAGGTCCGAGCTGCTGAGTGCGCACGTGCCTCCTCCTCCTCCTCCTCCTCCTCCTCCTCCTCCTGCTCCTCCTCCTCCTCCTCCCCTCCTCCTCTCCCCTCTCCTCCTCCTCCTGCTCCTCCTGCTCCCTGCTCCTCCTCCTCGCTCCTCCTCCTCCTCCTCCTCCTCCTCCTCCTCCTCCTCCTCCTCCTCCTCCTCCTCCCTCCTCCTCCCTCCTCCTCCTCCTCGGTCTCGAGTGCAGCCTGCGAGGCAGGCGCGAGCGTGTTCACTTCTGGAGTGGCCTCCTCTTCCCCCCCCCCTCCTCCGCGGCCGCCTCGTCTGTCCTCTGCCCACTCCTGCACGCTGGCCAGTTCGCTCCTCGGTGCCCCCGTTTAGCTCCAGCGCTGGTGCAGCCAGCTCTGCGTCGCCACCGACGAAAAAAGTGCTTCCACGTATGGAACCGCCCCCAGCAAGCCCCAGATGCCGCCCCGTGCCGAAACGAGGGGCGGGAACTCATGCAAGCCTTGCCCCTTGGGCCTGGCGGTGGAGCTCCCTATGGGGCCACACGAAGTGTGAGGGCGGTGCTGGAACGAGAGGTGGGAACTCATGCGAACTCCGCCACTTGGGCCTTCGTTGAAGCTCACTTTTGGGCCACGAAACGTGTGAGGGGTGTGCCGAAATGAGAGGCGGAAGCTCATGTGAACCTCGGAATTTGGGCCATCGTTCCCAGTGGGGGCCACGAATCGTGTGAGGGGTGTGCCGAGGTGAGAGGTGGGAACTCATGCGAGCCTTGGCGTTCGCACGCTACTTGGAACTCCCTGTTGGGTCCGCGAAGCGTGTGAGAAGTGTACAAGGACGGCGGCAACACTCATGAATATGACGACGGTGATAATAATGATAATGATGATGATGATGATGATGATGATGATGATGATGATGATGATGATGATGATGATGATGATGATGATGATGATGATGATGATCATGATCATGATCATGATCATGATCATGATCATGATCATGATGATCATGATGATGATGATGATGATGATGATGATGATGCTGATGATGATGGTAATGATGGCGGTGGTGGTGATGGTGGTGGTGGTGATGATGATGAGGATGATGATGATGATGATGATGATGATGATGATGATGATGATGATGATGATGCTGATTGCGATGACCACGAGGAAGGAGGGGGAGGAGGAGGAGGAGGAGGAGGAGAAGGAGGAGGAAACACCAGGAGGAAAGGAGAGAGGGAGGGAAGGAAGTGGGGAAGGACGGAAGATGCGGGGCGCTGTTGATTCAAAACGTTGACTCAACACCAGAGGATGCATGGGAAAAACTTAAGACGGGGAAGGACTCGCAGGTCAAGGCAATGTAGAGGAAGAGGAGGAGGGAATCTGAGGGAAGAAGAGAGAACAGCACATTATCACGACGACCACCAAAACGGAAACAACGACTTATCGTTATTGCATGAGTGTTTGCCTCTCATTCCGCACGCCGGCGCGGCAATCTTGTGTGTATAAAGATATACACTTCTAAGGCCGGCCAGCGGCCGATAAGGAGGTTGAGGGTGCAGAACCAAGGATGGGACAACTATCGGTACAGCCGTATCCATCCATCGAACAAGTTGAGTCGGTTTCTCTACCCACGTACCAGCCTCAACATGTATGTATGTAAAGAATCACACGTTTACCTGCATGTCTATCGATTCCACTACGTATGTGTATATGTATATATATATATCTATACATATATATTGGGTTCACGAGTCATCGCTCGATCGCACTATCTGCAGACCGATATTGTTATCTTGCTGACGATATCCCAATCGAAGTATTAGCCGGCACATATGATTCGATCGGCCTCTCTACCTACCTATCGGTCTCAGGATATGTTTGTCGATCTCACTTTATACGTATATGGATCCCACAATCAATATATGTGTCGATCTACAGACCTATCTACCCATCGGCCTCCCTACCTATCTGTCGGCCGCACTATCGATCAATCAGTTTCTCATCAGGACCACCATCGGGACAACCATCGGAATAACCATCGGGACAACCGACGGGACAACCATCGGGACTACCACCGGGACAGCCATGGGGACAACCGTCAGGCAGGACAACCGACGGGACAACCACGGAACAACCGCGGGGCGGGACAACCACGAGACACTCATCGGGACAACCGCGGGACAACCTTGGGGCACCGACTGCAAACCTCACGAGGAGAGTCTTTTGCTCTGACTTCGCCTGCGCAGTGGTGAGATCCCTACTCGCGCCCGCGCGCACAGCTTCGCCCCGTCCGCACGCACGACACGATCACAACACCGAAGCCGATTTCCGGTTGAGGCGTCTCCTTTTCCAGTCGATCTCACTCCGGCCTCCGATACACGTGTATCTATGCATAAGTACTATACATACATTCATACATACGTGCATACATACGTGCATACATACATCCGTACAGACATACACATGCATACATACATACATACATACATACATACATCCATCCATCCATCCATCCATCCATACATACATACATACATACATACATACATACATACATAGACATACACATACACACAAACATACATAAATGCAAACATGCAGGCATGCATACAAACAAACAAACATAGATGCGTACATATACACATACATGCATGTAACTGTACATATGTATATACAAGACAGCATTGACGCTTCGCCCCATGCACCTTGGTCTGTGGATGTGCGCATGCCGACCGAAGGGCAGGAATATAAACATAACATTTAGCGACAACACCTTGTGGCTTGTTTTTTTTCCGACATGGCCGCTGTAGTAATGTGATTCATTATTTGTCCCTCATGCTGCCTCTGTCTCTTCCATATTCTCGCCCTACCCTGCGAATCTTTCCCCATCCTCATCAGCTCTTTTTTCGGAGGCTCCTCCTTGGAGAGCCTCTGGGGAGCCTC